CTATCGGTCCAGTGTTAAGAATCTTTCTTTTCCTGACGGTGAGATGCAATCCATATTGAAGGCTGCATTCCTTGATCTTCTGCAACAAGTGCTTTAAGTCCTCCTCACTTTCAGCAAGCAAGGTTGTGCCATCTGCATAACACAGGTTTATTGATGAATCTCTCTCCAAACCCGATGCCACACTCCTCTTTACAGAGTCAAGCTTCTTGGAAATTTGCTCAGCATACAGACTGAATAGGTATTGAGGGAGAATACAATCCTGATGCACTTCTTCTCAATGTTAAACTATGCGGTGTTTCCCTGTTCTGTTCACACAACAGCCTCATGGTCCAGTTATAGGTTCCACACGAACACAATTAAGTGCTCCGGGACCCCCATTTTTCTCAAAGTCAGTCACAACTTGTTATGATCAACACTTCTAATGCCTTTGTATAGGCAATATACTAAGTATGTATACACACACATATGTACCTGTATATGTATGCATGTATATATGTACATATGTATATATAATATAGGCAAAACACAAATAGACATTTTTCTTAGGAGGACAAAGCAAAGTACTAGAATGGAATGTGCAGAGAGCTGGAATTGGAGAATAAAAAGGAAAGAACTAGCTCTGCATTTCTCAAACTGAGAGAACGTAAAAACAAATTTAAGCCTCCTGTTGCAATGTTGAAAGATGCTATGGGCAATATATTTAACGACCCAGAAAGCATCAAAAGAAGATGGAGGGAATACACAGAATCACTGCACCAGAAAGAACTGATTTGCACTGAAAAATTCCAGAAGCACCATATGAACAGGAGCCAATGGTAATGAAGGAGGAAACTGAAGCTGCATTGAAGGCATTGGTATAAAATAAGGCCCCAGGAATCAATGGGAGACCAACCGACTTGTTTCAATTAACAGATGCTGCTTTGGATGCACTCAACAGTCTATGCCAAAAAATTTAGAGGACAGTTGTCTGGCCAGTGGATTGGAAGAGGTACATATTTCTTTCAATTCCCAAGAAAGGTGATCCAACTGAATGGGGAAACTCTCAAGTAATATCATCAATAACACATGTAAACAAAATACTGCTGAAGATCATTTTAAAAAATGGCTGGAACAGTACACAGATAAGGAACTGTCAGAAATTCAAGAAGGATTTGAAGGGGCTGTGACACCAGGGATATAATTGCTGATGTCAGATAGATCTTGGCTGAAAATAAGGAATACCAGAAGAATGTCTATTTGTACTTAATGACTATGCCAAAGTGTTTGTCTGTGTGGATCATGACAAGTTGTGGCTGACATTGAGAAGAATGGGAATCCCTGAGCACTTGATTGTGCTCATGCAGAACCTATGCCTGGATCAGGAGGCTGTTGCACAAACAGAGCAGAGGAGCATGGCATGGTTTGGAATTGGGGAGTCAGTGCACCAGGGTTGTATCCTCTCTCCATATTTATTCAATCTATACACTGAGCAAATTATCTGAAAGGCTGGACTCTATGAGGAGTGTGGCATCAGGATTGGAGGGGATTCATCAATAACCTGCATTATTTAGATACCATAACCTTGCTTGCTGAAAGAGAGGAGGACTTGAAGCACTTGTTGCAGAAGATCAAGGAATGCTGCCTTCAGTATGGATTGCATCTTACTGTCAGGATAACAAAGATTCTTACCACTGGAGCTATAGGCAACATCATGATGAATAGTGAGGAGAATGAAACTGTCAACAGCTTCATCTTGCTTGGATCCACAATTAACACTCTTGGTACCAGCGGTCAGAAAATAAGGAAACATACTGTACTGGAAAAATCCACAGTTCAGGGCCTCTCCAAATTATTGAAGAGTAATGATATCAGTTTGAGGACTACGGTGTGTCTGATTCAGGCCCTAGTCTTTCTGATCACTTGTTATGCATCTGAGATTTGGACAATAAGGATGACAGGAAAAGAAGTGATGCCTTTGAGCTGTGGTGTTGGAGAAAAGCACTCTACATCCCATGGATGGCCAAGAGAACAAACAAATATGTCTTGGAGAAGGTGCAGCCGGAATGTTCTTTGGAGGCAAAAATGGTAAAGCTTTGCATCACATACTTTGGGCATGTTACAGGAAGTTCTATTCCTTGGAAAAGGTCATGATGTTGGGATGGGTGGAGGGTCAGCGAAGGAGACAAAGATCCTCAAGCAGGTGGACTGACATGGTGACTGATCCAACGGGCTCTTGTGTGTCAGAAAGTGTGAGGATGGGGCAGGAAAAAAACAGGGTTCAGATATTTTGTTCAGAGGGTTGCTATGATTTATATGCTTGACTTGACTGTACCTAAGAACAATATCCACAATCAGTTTTCAAAATTTCTAACTATACTTAAGTAAATACTAACACTATATTGTTCCTCAACCCAAATTCTTTACAATGGACCATGTGCACCATCCGACACCTGCTTCTCCCTTATTCTCAACTCCCTCTCTCCCCTGTGTGATGATTTACTCTGATTCTTTCTGTTCATACTCACATCCACCTCTTTACCATTCCAGAGAGTTTTATGACTATCTGACCCATAAGTTGCACAAGCTCACACTTGAGAAAGATTTAGAGCTTGGTATAATTCTCTGCTTCTGCTGTCCTCAAATTTTTAGGGTCTTCTGAACAAAGAGCCTCAATGTTCACTTGACCAGGAAACGCAGATTATTTCATGCCCCAGTACAGTAATACACTCCTGTTTCTTTCTTTGCCCCAACTGCACCAAAGTCTTTCCCATCTCTTAACAATGGTGCATGCTGTTTGTTTCTCTCATATAGTCTCCTCATAGTCTTTGCACAGCTCTTTCTTGTCTTTTCATTTTGAATATAAATGCTAACTTTCAAGCCGATCATCACTAATTTCTTTATCTAAAATTCCACCTCCAATCACTTTCTCATTACCTGCTTCATTCTTTAAACACATTAATTTCCATTTCTAATGATCTTATTTGTTTGTTTTCTACTTCACTGCCACACAGCACTGGAGCCAGCAATCGTGGCTATCTTTATAAAACAATGATGATTACCAAGAGATGAAAATAGCATCTGGCTCACTGTAAGCATTTACTATTTATTTACTATTTATTTTGTGAGTGAGTGAATATATTAAGTTAATAATCATAATTTTAAAAAGCTCGAAAATTATCTTCTGACATTTCTCCACCCCTGGTTAAAATTATTATCTGCCAAGGATATATTTTCTATTAGTATTATTTGGTGACATTTTCTAGAAGTTTTCTCACCATATTGAGGATATATTTTTTAAAAAAGATAAGATACCTAAGAATGTGAGATTTATATGTTTATATTTTATAAGTATTGCAGCCTTTCTGCCAATTTATGATCCAGAAAAGAATTCAATTCCCTAAAACCAAAGGAAATGCACAGTTCTATGAATAAATTTTGATTCACGATATGAGAGGAAAACTAAAGAATAGCTGTTGACAAAAAAATAAGAATAACTTCAGAAAAAAAAAAGCTTTACATCAAAAGAACAAGACCCAATATCCAATGCTAGTGAGGCTATGTCACTATTGGGTCATTAACAAAGACTGGTAGTAATGTAAAGTGGTGTACAATTCTGTAGAAAAACAACGTGGCCTGAAAGATCTTATAAAAACTGTTCAAAAGGGATATAGGATTAGGTATTATTGTCATTTCAGGAGTCCAGAATGAATGCTGCATAGTGCAGTAGACATGGAGGGAGGGATTGCATGACAATGAAAGATTTTTTCTTTTAATTTTCAAAGAGAAGAGCAAACTAGGAAGGAGGTTGGGCAGGGAGGAAAGTGTAACAATGAATTAATTGAAATGCAAATTTTCTGTAAATTTTCATTAAAATGAATCTTAAAAAGTTTATAGAAGGTAGTAGATATACCTAATAAATTAATTGAACTCTGATAATTATAACAAATTCCATAGCAAAAAAAAAACACCGCAAACCCCCAAAATGCATGAGAATGATTGTGTGAAACAGTGTGAATGAAGAATAGTGTGAAATACAAGGTATATAAACTTTTTAAGCAAACCAATTAAAAAATGTTACAAAAATTCTAATATTCATTGTCTATGTCATATATTTCTATGACATTTTAGCCTATGGAAATGTACTTTATACAACAAACTCAGCCAGTTGCTGTCAAATTGGAACCACTCATAGCTTACTGTCTAAAAGGGCTTCAGGGTATAAATCACATTAAAGATTATTTTTCTCTCACAGAGCAGCTGGTGGATTCAAACCACCTGCATTTTGGTTGGCAGTACAACTCCTTACCCACGAGATTACCAGACTATCTCATATAACATGCAGACAGATCTATATCCATATATTTATAATAGTATTACTCACAATAATAGAAAACTAAATTTCCAAATTAAAGAGAACAACAAGACAAACTGCAGTATTATACTCAATTAGATACAACCTGGAAAATGGATTCTGTGACAACAATGGGACAGCACTTAAGAAAAAGTGCATTTAAGAAAAAGTGCATTGTAAAAAGGTGGAATAAAAAGAAATTCTAACAAAATCAAAGTTGTGGGACAACACAGGAAGGTAATTCATTTTGGAGTTAGGTTTATGGATGATATTTTAATATCTACATTTCTGACATTTTTAAGCCAACAAGAATATAATATTTAATTATGAAAATATATTTTAAATATGTCTAAAAGAAATATTTCCTCTCAATTACTGTCATTCCCAAAGTAGGTCAGTATGAAATTTTAAAAATATCTGTCATTAAACTGTTTAAAATGAAATAAAAATGCCATGGACATTGTAATAAATTAATTTTTCACATTAAAAAGCACATTATTCTGTCAATGTCAGATAATTAAAAATTTATTTGAAAGTTAAAACCACAAAAGTATGGTTGGCAATTGTAATATAATTATCTCCTTATTAAAAAAAAAAGGAAACAGAATAAAAGTTTATGTAGCAGCTAGTTCAAAAGAAATGCATTAAAGAACGGTAACTCTGTACTTACAGGTATACAATATTCCACCATCGGATAATGCAACTTGTGACCTTTTGCTGTTCGACCAGAAAAAAAGCAGCTCTGGCAGACATCATAGTTAAAATGCTTGAGGCTTCTATACCTAGAAAGCAAGAAAGGCAAAAATGCATTGGTTCGCATGACTATTATTTAGTCCAAATCAATCATATGTGGTAAGAATTTCATTTATGCAAATCACTGTGGAAATACAAGATAGAACTCCCATACATGTGGGATTTACTTAGTGACTGCGTTTCAAATTAGAACAAAGAGAATCTTGAATTTCACAAGGAAAATTAATGAAGCCATCAACCAAGGGGAGGGGGAATGAAATTCAAGTTTCTTAAATGTGTTTCCATATGTTTAAACATGACAAGAAAACAAGGATCTATGTCAAAAGGAATTCTGTAGTGTTTGGAAGTAAATGCAAAACATAAAGAAGAAAGGGAGTTGTGTTCATTAGCTTGAAACACACAATGTAAAAACATGTTATACCACCACCAAAGACTAAATCACACGAGAAGGGGGCCAACTATTCTACTACTAAACTGAATTATAACCTTTTGAATTCTTCAACATGGTTCTGTATGGTCTGTGAGCGATCAAACCAGATTTTGGACCTAGCAAAGCCACAAGTTTGGGGTTGAGATGGGGTATGGGAGTGTGGGGGACATCTCTGACCTCATGGGCTTTGGTTTAATGTTTCTGATGCTGTTGGCTGGAACAGTTCCCCTTTGTGAGGTTGGTAAAGGTCAGCTGTCCCCACGTGGCCCCTTCGCTCTTCACAGCAGCTGACAGGTATATCAGGACCTCAAAGCCAGCTTGCTGTTGCTGTTAGGCACCACCCATTGGAATCAACTCCAACTCATGATGATCCTACATCCAAGGGAGGGACATCTTTTCTGATCTGCACCGTCTTCACAATCTGCTGCAAACTGTTTCAGACACTGGGTCAATCCATCCTGTGAAGAGTCTTCCTTTCCTTCACTGACCCTTCACCTTTTCAAGCATGATGTCCCCCTCCAAGGACTGCTTCCTTCTGGCAACACAGCCAGAAAATGATAGACAAAACCTCTTCATTCTTGCCTCCATGGGGCACCCTGGCTATATTTCACCTAAGACACAAATATAGATCTATCCATAGAAAAATATTTTAAACAGGAAGTTGAACACATTGAAAGTAGAAAAAAAAAAACAACCCACCTAAGGCTGGGGAAAAAATCAATAGTGGAAACTACTAAGTGCTGAATAACTTCTAAAATGACCTAGCAGATCACTTAGTAATTGTTCTGAAGAAAATCAATCTGTGTATACCAGCCATTTACTTTCACAGGGAAGCTTTCTGGTTTGAAACAATTGTTTAAACTAACAATCTCTCTTGACCTCTCACCCTAAATTGACAGACATGACTGACATTTTTCCTTCTAAGTGGAGTTTGGTTTATTACAGAATGCTCTCGTGGCAGACAGCCATTCCCTTCCTCCATTAATAACAGCCTTGTGTGTTGGAGGGCCCATGCTCTGCTGAAACTCTCTCTCTTGTCCTTCCTGAGCCAAATGGTGACCAATACAAAGCCGAATTCACTGGGTAGGATTTAGGGTGTTGGTTTCAAAGGGTTCAAATAGAGGAGAGAGAGCCTCTGTCTTGCCCACCCTCCTGGAAACAGACCTGATCTGTCTTGCTAGGATGTGGTGGTGAAGATGTTAGGAATGGCAGAGCAAAAGAAAGACAGAGCTTGGGGCTCAGTGGACCATGGAGCTACCATATCAATCCTGAACTAATGACCTTTGAATGAGCTCTAATAAGAGGAAAGTAAGAAGCACCACTTCTAAGGAGAACTCTATAATTCTTCTGAGATACATTCGTCCTTCCAGCCATTCACTGTATAGCCATTATTCTTTTTCAACATGTTAAATTTACAGTCACCAATTCCTCAGTCTTCTTCCTTTATTGTCCCACTTTCACTTGAATCTGTGGTGACTGAAAACACCATGGATTGGCTTGGGTGTACCCTAGTCCTTAAAGTACCATCCTTGCCCTTTATGACTTCTAAGAAGTCTTTTGCAGTAGTTTTACTGAAAACAGTAAAGCAGCTGATTTCATTATTCTGCTGTCATGGGCACTGATACAGAGTCAAATAAAATTAAGTCCTTCACAATTTCAATAGTTTCTCCATTTATCACAAGGTTATTAACTGATCCAGTGTAATGGAGTTTTGTTTTCCTCATGTTGAATGGGATCCATATTAAATGCTAGAATAATTTCAGTCTTCTTCAGTTAAGTGCTTCAAGTATTCTTCATTTTCTGTGAGCATGGTTGTCTCATCTGCATATCACAAGCCATTAATGAGTCTGCCTCCTATTCTTACACTGGGTTCTTTTTCATATATTTCAGCAACCCAGAGCCACTCAGAATATAGACTGAATAAATATGGGGAAAGAGTACAACTCTGACACACACCTTTTCATATTTAAAGCCACTCAGTATCCTGTTTGTTTTTTTCTTTTAAACAATTCCTTTTCTTTCTTTTTTTAATTATGTTTTATTTGTGTATCTTTTTCCCCCTGCTCCCTCTCTCCACCCACCAAACTCTTCAACTCCTTCAGTTCCCCTTTCTTCTGTTTAAATGACTGCCTCTTGATTCCTCATGAACTTAATTAGGTACATTTAACATAGGTTACCTACTGCAACTGTTCACCAGTGGTTTCTCAGAAGGAAAACGGGCAGTCTATTATCAAATGATTTACAGCCTCAGAAACCCAATGGGGGTCCTGACTTGACAACACTGAACTTTTTAGTTTTATGCAGAAGTAGAATATCATTAACATTCATGACCTTACATCTCAGCTTCATTAAATCTTATTATTTTGCTAGCATTACTTCACATAAATATTTTAAGAAATAAACTTTTAATGGTACAATTAAATACAGAGTTTTTGCTTTCTGCGTGCTCAGTCCTCGGGGCTCTTATTCCATCTCTGTGCAAAGGTCATATAAGATGGTCTTACACAACTGTGTGATCCTATGATTATGCCCCCGTCCTCACCCCTATGTTCCCCCTTAGATCATCAAACACAGGTTACTAGTTATCTATTTCTACAATAATGGTCTTACACAGTATTTGTCCTTATGGGACTGAGTTAGTTCACTTAGCATAATGCTCTCAATTCCTCCCAAGTTAGATAGTGATTTACAAAATCATCACTCCTGCATGCTGCCTAATATTCCATCATTTGAATTGATGGGTGGGGTGGGATAAAGAAACGGGAAAGATCCAGCGTGAAAAACAATGTGTATGGAAATCTGTAAGTAAACCTATATAAAATAAAAATTAAAAAAAAACAAAAAAATAAGTTATTTTGCAACAACAACAAAAGGATTGTCTTATATACACCAGTTTCTTTCCAACTCAAAGAATCTGAAATTTTTGTGGCTTCACATTATATGTTGTACACCATGTAATATGTTGTAATATGCAGTCGAGTTGAAACTGACTCATAATGCCTTCCAGTGGGTTTCTGGAGGCTGTAAAATCCTGTGCACGGGGATTTCTTTCCTACGCTATCTTCACGGTCTCAAATATACTTGAGCCCACTATTGGAGTAATTTGTGCCAACCCACCTTCATGAGGTCTTCCTCTCTTTCACTGACCATCCACCTTCTAAGCATGATGCCTGTTCCAAGGACTAGCTTCCCCTAACACCATGTACAAAGTGTGTGAGACGAAGCTTCACCATCTTCACTTCTAAGGAGTCCCCTGGTTGCACTTTCTTCCAGGCACACTCGTTTACTCCTCGGCAGTCTATGGAATATTCAGTATTCTCCTCCAACAGAACAACTCGAAAGCGTCAATTCTTCTTCTTACAATTTTAGTCATTGTTCAACTTGCAGATGCATCACAAGTAACTGAAAAGACTATAGCTAAAATCAGGTGCACCTTACTCTAACATTTTTCATCCTGAGCATTTTAGAGAGGCCGATTTCCCAAATGCAGCACATCTTCTATTTCTCGACTGCTGGTGCCAAGGGTGCCGATTGTGGATCTAAGCAACATGAAATCATGACAACTTCAGACTCTCAGGATCTTGTCTATTGGTCCAGTGGTGGGAATTTCTGTTTCCTTGATGTTAGGATGTGATCCATGTGGAAGAGCGCAGTTCTTGATCTGTGTCCTCGGCATAACAGTTTGTTGATGAGTCTTCCTCTGATCCTGATGCTACGCTCTTCATAAATTCCAGATTCTAGAAGGATTTGCTTAGCATAATGAACAAATATGGAAAAATGATATATTTCTTACCCCTACCTTTCTTGATTTTAAACCATACTAACAGATATTTAAAATCCAGTCATTGCAAGAAGCATGGTCAATTCATTGTGCTTTTCTCATCTTCTTTTTCCTCATGTTTGCCCTTTGATGTTCACCATAACATCTGTTACTTTGGCTCGCAGGCTTATTCTGAACCTGATTCACCTTGTTAACTGTCTGTTTTTCCCCTCTCACAGTGAATGCAGTCATTGTGGAACCAAGGCCTCCTGAATTTATAACACTTTAGATGGTTCCCCCAGCTATCAGTTATAAGACAATGTTGTTACTGTTGTTGTTGTGTGCCATCAAGTCAGAACCGCCCCACAGCTGATGCTCTAATGGGATTTCAGAGTCAGTTAATCCCATAGGGGTCGAGTGCCCATCTTTTTGCCTGTGGGACAGCTGGTGGATGTGATCCACATGCCTTTGTGTTGGCAGTGCAACTCCTTGCCACTAAGCCACCAAAGCTCCCTTATAAGGAAAAGACTTTCAATTCTATTTCATAAATTAGCAATTTGCAGAGACGGCAGTTGTGTCTTCCTGACAAATTATGCTGATTAAAAAAATCAAGTGAAATTCAAGTAACTTTGTTTAATTTATGAAACTCGGTCTCTAGGCAGCAGTTATCTCAGTTGTCCTGACTGGATTCTTCAACAGAGGACTTTTCATCAACACTTTAGCTGATTTCTCTTCTGGCATGAAGGAGACACACATAGGAAAACCTGAGTTCCTCCACTCAGTGGGCTTATATTTTTTTCATAATAAACCCAGTTTCAGTCTAATAGATTCCCCTCATAGCAACTCTGAATGTTTAAGGGTGGCGCTATGCTCCCCCATGTTCCAGGACACGAGGTTGTAGAAGTGGGCTGCCAGGCTTTTCTACTGAGGTTCAATCTCTGGGTAGGACTGAACCTCCAAACACTGGATTAGCAAATTCCCATGAACCATTTGTACTCCTAAATCTCTTCACAAAAGCTATTCTAGTGAAACTGGAGGTATTTACCAGAGTCTTCCCAGAAGAAAAGCATAGTGTAAATACTTTAAGAAGCCTAACACATCCTTAAGATAGAAGGTCCAAGTTGGCAAGAAGCTTCAACCTGGAACAAACCACAGACGCTGAAGAGAAGCTGCTCTGGGATCACACGACGACAAGTGTGATTGCCGTAAAGCTTGGAGTTTCGCGATGCTCCTCAATGTGAAGATGAACAGTGGGCTTAATTTACTTCAAAACAAACCCAATGGAAATAAAAAAAAAATTAACAATATTTCTTCTTGTTGTCTGGGCCATCGAGTCAGAACCAACCCACAGCTGAACCTCCAACGGGTTTCAGAGGCAGTAAATCACACATGAGATCGCCCATCCTTCTCCTGTGGAACAAATGGAGGATTTGAACTAGAGGTCTAAGATATTGCTTCCAGGTCACTAACTGAATTCAAAGGCCTCAGAACACCACCAAATTCCATCCATGCCATATAGTTAGACTCAGATATGCAATTATTATCCATGAACCTTATTATAGCATATGTAAACATAAACACACAAAAATGGTTGATTCTGGAGCAGCATCCCAAGAAATCATATCACTTGATATGTTTCATGAGGTGGTTATAAAAAGGAATGCTATTTTGAGATGTATGAAATATATTAAGCCTCACATTCATCTGCTCCTTTTTGTAAAATGTTTGTCAGATACTATTCTAAAAAAAATTAAGACAGACTAGGAAGAAGGATTTTCCATCCACTTGTGAAATAACACGCCTTCGAAAACCCTATGTACAATATAGCACATTTAGACTAGCAGACATGGAAACTGAGGCTGAGATCTCAGATACGGAACTGTACAGTGACTGGGATAATGAAGGTAGGTGCATCACAGACAGTGAAATGGGCCCAGGATAGAGCAGGTTTCAGGGCTCTTGTACATAGGATTGCTATGACATTTATTTCATGGTGGTGGTGGTTGTTGATTGCCTTCGAGTCGAGTATGACTCATAGCAACCCTATGAACAAAAGGCCTGAAGTCCCACTACAACTATTGACATTTATCAAAGTTCATAGAGTGTGTGGAGGCATGTTGTTTAGGAAGTGGATGCCACTCCTGCTTCCAATCATTTAATGAGGAAAATCCCAAAACGGGCACAAAAGCTACAAAACCAGATCAGAAAATTGCCCACTGTTGACACTACTAGCAGGAATCTTACCGGAATCCTACAATAGGACATTCTTTACAGATGTTGCACTTGGCCTGATGTTTTGCAGTCTCAGCTGCTGCCACTCGATGTAAAACTGGCAGCCAAACCATAGACTGTGGTTCCAGACGCATCCAGTCTATGAACTCCTTCACGCTTATCTCTGGCTTGTTGTTATTCTGGTGAAGAAATAAATACATTACAATGAGGGGTGGGGTGGGGTGAAGCTTTTATTGAATCTTCTTAAAATCTGTGCAAAAGTAAAAGAAAGGTTCATAAATCTTGACAGGTATTTTAAGTTTTAAAATCTTTAAGGAAAAAAAAAATTACAGAAGTTAGTGACAGAAAAGGTAGAAACAACTGACAGTATATAGGAAGAAAAGGGAGTAGAAGTTAGCTCTAAAAATCTTATGCTACTCAAATAAAAAACAAAACCAAACACCACCACCAGAAAAACCAAACTCACCCATTTCTAGGGGCATATTATCACATAAATACTTTATTTCCAGAAAATTCTTTGAAGACATATACATGAGTCAGTAGTAATATTTCTGAAACACCTTTACAGAGACAGCTTCCAGATGATAAACATCTATCTGATTTATACAGAATTTATATTAATGAATCAGTTTCCCATAAAATTAACTATATTAAAAATCTGATGATTCATAATAACAAACAGATGTTACTTTGCAATGTGCATAAAACACTGTTAACAATGGGGATAAAAATGTTTCCGTGTATCTGAAAGTGTTTCTCTAGTGTTTTCTAGGGTAGAACTCTCTCACTGCCACACCATGTGGTTGAGGCTGAAAATCACATGGGAGGAGATTGTCCCTCTTCCTCTCCTGGAGCCACCGGTGTATTTGAACTGCCACAGAGACCGGCTTTTAAGTTAGCAGGGCCTGTTCCTTCGGACTGTGTCACCAGAACTCCCTAGAGAGACACATTACATCTAAGACAAACATCTGCTTAACAGACTTTAGATATAAACCAAACCTAATTGCTCAGACTTAATTTTGACTTAAAGACAGACTTAGGAATGGAATCCACTCATAATTAGGGAAGTGTCTGCTTAATGTAAACATTAAAAAGGAACTAATGTGCTTTTCCGTTTATAATTAGCCACTTAGATGGGATCAGGATCAATTTTTGTAATTTATTTTTTTTATAATTCACCTTTTGTAAGCTTGTTTTAAAAAAGAAACAAACTTGAAATTTTAATAATCTCCTGCTATGAATTGAACAGTGCCCCCCAAAATATGTACTGAAATATGATCCTGTTTGGAAAGAGGGCTTTTATTGTTATGGTAATTACTCAAATCTCTTGAGCAGGGTAGGTTCTAAATCTAATCATTTTTTGAGTAATGACAAGCAGAGTAGGGTTAAGGTAAGAGTCACCCAGGGAGAAACAAGAGAAAGACAGCAAAGACACATGCAATGACAGGAATCCTGTCTGTGACCAGAAACTGAGTTCACTGGTGGCGTCATCCATGGATTTGCACTGTGTCTCTGTGGTGGTTCAAATCCACCAGTAACAACAAAGGAGAAAGATGGGAAATCACTTCCAGTGTGATTTACAACCTCGGAAACCCAACGAAGTGATAAGTCAGTTCTGATCTGAATGGCGACGAGTGAGTGAGTGCGTCAGAAACTGAAATAGACAAGGAGTCCACTGCCTGAGGGCTGTGTCTTAAACTCGGATAATCTCCTAAACTTTGAGAAAAGAAATTTCCAATCTTAAAGCATCTAAGGTTATTTTACTTTACATTTTTATATTTCAAAAATATTGCTGACAAGGAATTCAGGATACCATTACTAATTTCTTTAGCAAGTATTTACTGCAAAGCTATGACATTCAAAATATTTTACACAGGGATATATACACACATATTTGTTGTTGTTAGGTGCCACTGAGTTGACTACACTCGTAGCAACCTTATGGACTATGGATGTGAGCCCTGTCTTATGCTCTGCTATTCTCACCATACCAGGTACACTCAAGCTCATTGTTATGGTCACTGTGTCAACCTATCCTGTCAAGGATCTTCTTCTCTTTCTCTGACCCTCCACTTTTACAATCTGGATGCCTTTTACCAAGGACTGGCCCTTTCTAACCATAAGCCCAAAGTGTGTGTGTGTGTGTCACACACACACACACACACACACACACACTCAGTTATATGAAGAGGTTTTGAAGGCAGAAGGTAAGATAGAGTGTTCTCAGTAGAATACATGAAGAAAAGTGTGGCTGGAAATTAGAGGGCAAGAGACTGAGTGACAGATGAGGTCAGGACAAATATAGCAGCATTATGTTAGCAATAACCTTATGTTAGTAACCACATGTTAAAAACACTTTATAAAAAAAAATCTGTCTCCTTGATGGATTCACTGTCGTCTTACTGCATACCAAATCTTGTAATTAACTATAATCTGAGCGATACATAGATAGTCAGGTAAGGTAAAACCAAGGTGGGAAGGTGGTGCTTCAGGGAGAGTTTTCTGATCTGGAAGTGCAGGACTCTAATTCCAAGGGACACCAAAGTCAACTGGTATAACATAGTCTACAAGTTTACATGCTTCTCTGTCTTAACAGATTATGAGTGACCATCTAAGGAGAACAATTCTTGATCTCTCCCTGTCTAAAGTAAAAAAGAAGGAAGAAAATCAGAGATTCATGGGAATGGGTCCAATGGACTAATGGATCACACAAACCTCAGCCTCCGTGACACTTAGAGGAGAAGAAATCGGAGGTCCCAGCTACTACCACTGCTGACTTTTCTGAAAGAGTTTGTAGCAGGAGATCCTGAACAGAGTTGGGAGAAAAATGCAGAACAAAACTAAAGGGAAAAATAAACCTAACAAAAAAACCCAAAACCCAGCAGAGACCAGTTTTCCTGGTGTGTATGAGTGTTTCAGGGAAGTTATACACTCCTCAAACAATTAACAAGACCAGATAAAAAGGGCACATTTCACTAAGGGTGAAAGCTCAGAGGGCAGGAACAGGAAGGAGCAACAAATGGAGACAGCAAACAGAGAGGAGGTGGAAACTGTAAGCAATGTCACAAAATATACATAAACTGTTTATTGGAAAACCATTTTTTTGTAAGCTTATACGTAAATCACAATTAACAAGCTTTAAAAAGTGAAATGAAATATGAACTTACTGGGTAGTCCCACAGTTACCTGCCATTGGCTCTAACCTAAGTTCTCTGCTCTATTTCTCAGCATACTCTTAAGGCCCTGCTCAACTCATCCAAGGTGTCCATGATTTCTGTTGTTTACCTGCTGGAAGCAGCTTCGAACACTGGGTTCAATGTTGCTGCCTCCAAAAGCTGCCACTTCCCCCAGCTGCCGAGGGATCTGGATAGCATCGTGAAGCAGCAAGCCCAGCTGCCGCTGGTCACACATTTCCGTGGGCCCCGCCACTTCGTTAAAGAGATCTAACAAGAGAGAAAAGGGGTTAACTTTTATTTATCTACAGTGTCAGTGTACTTAGCAATTCTCTTTAGTTCAGTGGACTTGGTCTGTAGATCACAAATATTTCACAGGGACATGAGGCAGTGGAGTTGTTCATGGCGATCTAACACTCAGGACTGGATAGTTCATTGGTAGGGTGCTAGAGTTCACTAGTAAGGGTCCTCTGGTGGCGTTGTCCATAGTGAGTTTTGCTGCTCACCTAATAGTGGTAGCACTCTGAGGGTTCAAATCCACCAGTGGCTTCTTGGGGAAAAGATTGGCTATCTGCTGTCACGTGACTTACAGCCTCAGAAATCCACTGTAGGGTCAGTTACAAGTTGATTCTAATGTAACAACAATGAATAGAAAATAACAATACACTCTATCTATCTATCTATCTATCTATCTATCTATCTATCTATCTATCTTAGTTTTATTGACACAGTGCTTGGCTGCTAACCAAAAGGTCAAGGTTTGAGCCCATCACCTATTCCATGGGAGAAAGGTATAGCATTCTCTGCTTCAGGAAATACTCCAACCACCTACAGCTTGAAATCCCACAGGGTCAATTCTACCCTGTCCAATCTGGTTGCCATGAGTGGAAACTGTCTCCACAATGTGGCTTATACTCAAATTTATTTTTATAAGGAACACTAACAGGTACAAGGAATTAGTTTTTATTTTAAGGAGAACCTCATGTTACGAGAAAACATAATCAGTTTCTCACTGCTGATTAGGTATGAAAGTATTTTTGTTTTCTTTCTTTTTTTATTTTATTATTTGTGTGTGTGTATCATCAAATTGAATTTAACCGGTACTTCTCCGTCAGAGCATGTGGTGGATTTGAACCACACACCTCTGCGATTGCAGTTTGTTTTCTTTCATGTAATGAAGCACACTTATTCAAACTTAAATGACTTAATATAAACTCTGTGAGGGAATTCTATGTGGTGTGGGTGCCATCAGGTTGACTCTGACTTTGTAATGGAAGAAGACAAGGCCTGATCCTGCTCCAATCTCACAATTACTGATGAGCTTGAACTCAATGTTGAAGCCACTGAGTCAACAGGTTCATACAATTCCCGAGGTTTCTTATTCATAATAAACTGTGAACTTAAGAATATTTTTTTATTCAATATTAGCATTTGTTTATCTATTTACCATGAATACCATTATGAAGATGGAATTATCATAATTCCTGCAATAACAGTTAATATATTTAAGTAAAGGACTCTTGGGTGTATGGCAAATTTTACATAAAAATAATCCACTTTATTTATATAAACTTTTGTGGAACCTAACTCTTATTTCTAAAATGAGTTTTTAAAAAGTCCAAATCTTTCATTTGAAACTTTCCAGGAATAGGAAAAAGCAGGAGTAAATTTTTATTGGGTGCTAAAAACTATCTGAGGATATTACCTCATGTATAAATTAAACTGTCTTTTTTTTAAGCAAGACTAATACTTCTGAAAATTAGCCAGTAAAATCCCAATGGATCAAAATGGTCCAATTCCATTATGTATCAGTTCACCATGAGTCTAAGCCAATATGAAGGTGTTAACAGCTAACTGCAGCAGCAAAGCTGGATCTAATGCTTCCAAGAATGAATTTTCTAAAACTGAACCACGCTCCATGATTTTGACACAGTAATTATGATGAAAAATTACTTTAATTTTAAGTATGCATAGAGAAAGAAAATTCAATTAAGATAAATGTAATTTTTATCATTTGTTTCACATAGATTTAGAGTTCTGCTTGTTTGTTCAATTTTTTAAAATTAATCTATCACAGCCAAAAAAGACTTATCCATGATTCCTATTATGACGCTCACTTAAAATCGATTCCACGAAAGAATCTTATTAGGTAAATACAGAGTTGAAACATATTTAATAATCTTTTCGGAGAGGTTCACATTTTCGCTGGGATCAACGATGCCTAATTTTCCCTTCTGGAAGCAGAGAGGTATATTACTATTTCCCACTATTAATTTACAGCTTCCCAAAAACCTGCTGGAGGGTCAGCTATGAGTTGGTTCTGACAAAAAAACAATGAACTTGAGCTCGAATATGACTGAACTACTCACACACAAAGGTGGCAAAAAAGAACCACTTACAGTTTGCTATATTCTTAAAATTATAGAAGTTCCTATTTTGACGTTTAAAACAGATAAAAAAATAATACTGGGAACTGGAGAGTAAATCAGAGGAAAATTACTCGTCAAGTTCCAAATTCCAGAGTAAATTAGGACATCAGAAAAACAACTGACCATTCAAAAGGATGAAGGCGAGGCAGCTGGCCAGAGCCAAGCAGTAAGACCATGACACTAGACAAATTTGATCAAGAGATACTCTCAGGAAGGCACGAATTGCAAAGGAGAGGCCACAGGGCCCATGTTGGGGCCCTGCAAAATCAATATTCAGGTGGAAAAGAAATGACCCCGATGGCACCACTATCACTGAGTTTGAAGATCAAATTATCTTGAATATTAATTATTACAAAGATAATAATAATGATCCCGTTTTCTAATATCACTGGGGAAATCAAAACGTTCATTCAAGTGCGTAAGGACTTGAAACTGAAAAACAAAACCCCAGAACATTTTCAGTTTCCATACTCCCACAAAAGATTTAGATTAGTTTCCAACCCAAGAGAGTTTTTCTTATTTAATTAAGTATTAAAATTGCATGCTTAGTGCATGAAATATCAGCTATTCTCATTGCAGGGTCTTTTGATTTCTCTTCCATAATCTGACAGTTTACAGTTGAATTATAAGAGATACTATGTTTCAAAAAAAAAAGAGATACTATGTTTCCTGGTATGTGGAATTAAGGATGCTGAAACACCCTCCTCCTCTGAAATTTATTTATTTTTCAGTTGTGTCTGAAGATATGTGTGCAGATAAAACAGACATAATTTCCATATTATATTTTGTAGAATTATATGTTTGCTCCATTGCTATTGATTCTTCTGTTAGGTTACTCCGTGCTAATCACTTTAAAAATAAAGAGAAGACAAATCATTGATCTAGAAAAACAGATGAAACATACATCTTTAAGATTCCTGTCAAGAGGCCGAATTTGCTTTTGGTTCAGAATAAGTGCACTGTAATATAAATGTTTTCAATTCTATTTGCTTCCAAAAGCACATGAAGACCAAAACTCCAAGATCATAAAAAACACCTCTTCTCAATTTCGGCACATTAAAAGGCTCATTAACATTTCCTTTCTCTGATTCACAGAAATAACTCTTTAGTTTTGGAAATGAAATCTTTTGACAGTTCTGTTAGTGAAAACTATTTAACTTCCAAATAAACACAAGTTATGTGGTCTCGTGTTGAAGTGTCACAAGTTAAAAGCCCTGTGCAAACTGTTTTCTGCTTGGTTTACTCAGCTCTCTATCAGAGAGCCTTACTTCTTGATCCTGCAATCAATTTTTCATTTCACACAGAGCCACATTGCTATTCACAGACATCTTTGTCAGAGTACACAGAATACAATCCACTGGGCTGTAGACCAGAATGGAATGTCTTAATAACCTCATTGTGATCCCATAAAACATACTTTTAACACATGTATGAATCTAGCTCATCTATATATACTGACTGATGGATTGAGGCTCAATGTCAAGAAGACAAAGATTCTCACCACTGGACCAATTGGCAGTCTCAGGATAGATGGTGAAGAGATTGAGATTGTTAACAGCTTTAGTTTGCTTGGTGCCACACTCAACACTTTTGGCACCAGCAGCCAGGAAATTAAAAGACGTATTGTGATGGGAAAGTTGGCTGTTAGGAAAGGTGAGTCTGATATAGGCCATGGTCTTTGCAATCACTTGTTATGCATAAGAGAGTTGGACAATGACTAGGGAGGATAGAAGGAGAATTGATGCCTTTGAGCTGTGGTGCTGGAGAAGAGTATTGAGGGCACCACGGACTGCTAGGAAAACAAACAGATTCATCCTGGAGAGGGTTAAACCAGGCTGCTCCTTGGAGGCAAGGATTCTGAGGCTTCATCTGACATACTTTGGTCATGTTTTAAGGAGAGACCAGTCCTTGGAGAGGGACATCATTCTTGGTAGGGTGGAGGGACAGCACAGGAGGGGAAGGCCCTCTATGAGGTGGATTGATTCAGTGACTGGGGTAATCAGGATGGGTGTGTTGGAGTCAGTGCGACTGGCACAGGACAGAGCAGAGTTTAGGGATATTGTACATAGGATCGCTATGAGTTGCAAGCTACTCGACAGCACATAACAACAACAACAACAGCAGCATACACAATGATGATGCACCAGTTAGGTGCTTGGCTGTTAACTAAATGGTTGGTTCTCTGAACCCATAATGCAGCTCAACCTTAATACATGGGTCCTTGTAAGTAAACAAAACAAAACAAAACAAAACAAAACAAAACAAAACACAAAATCACTCTTGTTGGATCTCAATATGCCCTGTATTAAGTGACAGTAAAAGAGATACCAGATATATTTTGTTGTTGTTGGGTGCCATTGAGTCTATGAGTCATAGCGACCCTGTGAACAACAGCTCTGCACACTGTCCTATCTTGTTCCATCTTCACTCTTCCTGACACTCTAGAGGACACTGAGGCAGTCATTGAGCCAATCCACCTGGTGGAGGGTCTTCCTCTTCTTCGCTGACACTCGACTTTCCCGAGCATCATGTCGCTCTCCGAGGAACAGCCCCTCCTAGCAACATGCCCGCAGGATGTGCAGTGAAGCCTCAACATCCTTGCCTCCCAAGAGCACTCCGGCGGCACCCTCATATCAAAGGCCAGATATACTTGAGAGATATAAAGAAAGACATATTTTATCACCTCTTATTCTGTCAAGATTAAAAACTATAATTACTTGTGATAATTGTTTCATAAAGGAGTTCCAGTGGCCTGGTGGAGTTCCACTGTCAACCCCAGGGCAGGTGGACTGACTCCACGCACTGCTCTGCTGTAGAAAGTTGGGCAGTCTCCTGTCGTGCGATTTGCAGACTCTGAAAAACCCCTGGCGGGTCAGTCATGAGTCATTTCCAACTCAACGGCACCTAACAACATTGCTTCATGTAGTACCAGCAGCTGGTTGTACTGCGGTAATGTCCATACTACTATAATGATCGAAATGATGCCACCAGTACTACTTCAAATACTAGCAAGGTCCAACACAGTGGATAGGTTCTGATGGGACTTCCAGGCTAAGGCAGAACGGGAAGAAGAATGACTGTCAATCTATTGCCCTCCCCTGCAAAAAATTAAAAGAAAAAATTTAAAACCCAACAACTCAACCAATGAAAACCCATTTGGATCGCAGAATATTGTCTGAGAGTTCAACTCATTATGGGGAGACTGTTCACTGAGGGTTTTCACGTTTGGTAAAGTTGCAGGCCAGAGGAGGCAAGAGGAGCACTGAATTAGATGGACCAACACAATGTCCACAACAATGGGCTCAAACATACTGACAATCATGAACAAATACAAGATCAACAAGCTGTCTATCTGCTCTACATGAAACAGTTATATGAATCAGAGCTGACCGTACAGCAACTAGCAACAAATTATTATAACCTGTCAAAGTTCTAACCTACCTTCACTCGGTTTAAGCGTTTAAAGAAGTAGGACAGAAGTTTTGCAGTCAGAAGATCTAGGATCAAATTCCAATCCCATCAACTCCTGAACTAGAGGTGCTTAAGCCGTCACAGCATCATCTTTCCCTACTAGGAACTGGTAAACGCGAGCCCTACATTCAACTCAACTCACTGTCACTGAGTCAAAACCGACTCACAACTGACCCTGCAGTGAGTTTTTGGCGTGATAACACCACACAACAGCCTCTCACGAGGGGAGACTGCCCACCTCTCTCTCCCAAAGTGGCTGATAAGCAGAACTGCCAGAAGGTCATCACCATTGGCTTAGCAAGGCAACTCCCCACCGACGATCACGCCACACCTGAGTTCTCTAATATCTGTATTATGGAGGGGTTAACTTAAGAACTAAAAGGGACAAGGCTGGTAGTAGTGAGGTCTCACTCTAACATGGCAACTTACCTTCTGATCCAGTAATCAATTTTCCATTTAACATAAACCCAAAGTGTTTGGCAAGAATTTTCTTTGTTTGGTTTGCTAAGCTCATAATAAGGCTTGAAAAAAAATGGGCACTATTTTTATCAACAAATCACATAGAGTCCACACCACAAACACTTATCACAATTATTAGGAAAAATGCTGTGGGTACAGGATAGAGAATTACATACATCTGTATTTTTCCTCTAGGAGACCTTTGGAAAGAGACATCAATCCAATCTTCAGACTCTGTACTCTTATTTTTCCAGTCCGACCTCTGAAAGAATAAGAATCTCAAAGTTAGTTATATTTGAAACTCTAAGCTATGGATTAATTATTTCTTAGTATCTACTGTCTTGTGAGTAAGCTATTAGAAAGAATTTAATTGGAAAGAAAAACCTCACTATTCACATTTACCTTATCTAAACATTTCATAATCAATTAATGTGGAACCCAACACTGTAATTTCCTAATACTTTAATGGTATGTTTGAGCTCATATAAAAGAATACACAGTCTGAAGTCATACTGCAACAAATGGCTTAAAAGTGAACTGCAATAAAAAGACGATGCTGATTATAAAGCTGAAAAGATTTCACTTTATAAATAAGAGTTTTAAAATATTTGTTAAGAGCTGTGGAGAAACAGTGGAGGTGCAGTAGGCTAGTTATGGGACTGCTAACTGAAAGATCAGCCCTCCACGGGAGAGAGATGAGGCAGTCAGTCGACTCCAGTTACGATTTACAGCTTCAGAAACCTGACTTGGGATCACTATGGATCAGAACTGACCACCTGGTAGTAAATTTTGTTAGTAATTGTCTACACAAAATTCTCAGAAACCCAACAGAGGTTTCTATGAGTTAGAAGTGATGCAAAGACAGTGCCTTGTTTTAATTCGGTTAGACAAAAATGGGGAGCTAGAGGTGTATATATAACAAACGTGACTTCATCGAGCTGGAAAGTACTAGGGCTACATAAAGCAAAACAAAATAAAAAACATCTGAGAAAATGGCTTAGAAAATTAACTGTACACTGCGACCTTATACACTTGTTAGATATTTAAAATTCATTGTCTTCATCTGTTTTGGTTTTTGTCAATGCAGTTTTCATAAATTACTCTTACAATTATAATATTCCATGCTCCTAAACAGACAGGTGTGGAATTCTATTTGGGGAAGCATCCCATTATAATGAAATACAAAATGTATTAATTAATCAACACTAGAAAACAGTTTCACACTATGCTCCTGAGAGGCCGTTTCAATTTCCCACATAAGCTGACAAAAAGAAAATCTTCATTTTCTGTATGAGCGCAAATATTTCTTTGCTGCATCACTTCCCAAGGAATGACTGAATTGACTAACAAATGTCCATCACCATACCAGGTCCAAGGAAGGGAAAGGCAGAAAACACAAACTACCAACGAAATGAATAAGCTATAGTTCTTGCGGTGAAACATCAAAGAACACTGTACTGGTATCTCATTATTTCAGACTCAAGTTCATTTTTCCATTACTATCTACAAGTGACCAGTAACTACTTGTTAGTCTCAAAACAACCGATGAAAGTGATAAGCTTAAATTGGATTTTGGAGGCACAGCATGGCTGGATGGCTCACAACTGCAGTCTGAATATTTCATGAAAAGCCTGAGCAAAGGAGAATGAGTAGGTGTGGGAGTTCTATGGACCAGATTCATTAGTGTGAGAAAGAATGGCTTCAAGGTTGAATGGTGAGCAAAAGTGTAAAAGACGTTGTTTGGAGATGGAGGATAAAGGATTTGAATATTAAACAACATGTCTAGATTTCAGAGAAAACAGGGAGACAACATTTATTAGCAGGTAAGTACCATAACGTGGTAAGTGTTATGTTGATTGCCTGATAGTTTACATAAGCAACACTCAAAATTAGTTGAATTGGAAAGACATGCACCTTATCAAATTCAAATGATATGCATCTTGGAATCAAGGGAGAAAACCATGACTTAACACTGCAGTACGAGAGGTTAATATTTTCTGTAGGGACACGATTTTGAAAATGAATGTTCCAAACTATCCCTTTAAATCATAATTTAAACACTTGATTTCCGTTAAATCTAGAAGGAATATTGGAAAATTAAAAGACTTTTTAACCTTGGAAGATGAAGACGGAGCAGAACTGTGAATTCATAATGGAATTGACTTCAGAGTCTATAAATGCTATTTTACATATATTAGTTCGTTTGCCCTTCATAGTCACCTCATCTGTGGTAAGCAGAAGAGGTATTTTTATCTCAGTTTTTCAGATGAGACATTGAGATGCCAAAAGGTAAGTGGCTGCCCAGTCACAAGCAACTAGAAGTAGAACTTTGGATTCTCATCCTCCACGGTCGATGAAAATAGGTTTATTTTTCCCTCCCCACAAAATTCAGAATATTAAGAGGAGCTGGGTATGTGTTAAAATGTCAAAGAAACAATCTACTTAAAATAGCTTATGTTCTTTTTCATAGATATGGAAACATGGTAAGAATAATCAAAGGAGTCAAAGATCCCCAATTCTAACTGTATCTGAGCTAATATGCAATGAGTGGCTACACTGTCTTGTCTCAACTGGTCAGTGTCTCAATTAGCAAAATGATGAGGGCAGGGTGGATGGTCTCCAAACTTCTTCCAGTTCTAGAATTCCATGATTTATTGTGTGTGCAATGCTCAATACTCCAAGAACTGGCTAAAGCTCAGAAATAATACTGGTTGCATCAAAACTGGTTTTGTACACACATACACACACAGATGAGTAAAAAAAGAATATAGTTAATAAGGAAATGTTGGAGTAGATGAAGGTATTAGAGAAATGTGACCATGTCTAGGTGACCAGCTCTGATACAGTGACTGGCAATGGAATTAGGTGTGTCAGACGGTGAGGCTGGCTCAGGACAGGGTGCAGTTCAGACTCTTCATGGGGTCTCGCTGAGTTGTAGGTGACTTGTTGGCACATAACAAAAACACGAGAATAACTGTCGTACTCCTCGAATGTTCCTTAGAAGTGACAGGAGTCCAGAATGAAGGCTGCATAGTGGAGTGGACTTGGGGGGGAGGGGTTGTATAACAATGAAAGAATTTTACTTTTCAAAGAGAAGAGGGAAATGGGGGATGGGGTGGCCAGGAAGAAAAGTGCAACAATGAACTGATGGAAATACAAAGTCTATAAATTTTCATTAAAATTAATAATAATAATAAAAAACTTTTTAAAACAAACAACAGCAACAAAACCAAAAGAAGTGAAGATAGTTAAGACTTTCTTTAGGTGCATCACCAGGAAAGAAGAGTTTTTAGGAAAGGCCATTATGTTTGATAAAGTGGAGCCTTGACAAAAATTAGGAAAATCTTCCATGAGCTAAACCAACTGTAGCCATAAAAACAGACTCAATACCCCAAAGATCACCAAGATAGCACAGGATTTCAGACAACATTTTGTGGTTATGCATAAGGCTGATCTGTGTTGAAAATGACTTGACTACAACTCACAACAAGAAGGCAGACTGACATGGTGACTGTAACAACGGGCTTGAGCATATGTGATTGTGAGGTTGGCACGGGATAGGGCAAAGGTCAGACCTGTTGTTCCCAGGGCCGCTACGATTTGCTGACTACCCTGTGGCCTCTAACAAGAAAAGTGCCACCGTCCAAGATCGAAAGCTACAATGAGCATCACTGGGACCCAGCGTGTTCTTTATTTCTTTGATGCGGGAAATAGCTCTTAAAATATTTTTCCATTAAAATGGAATATGAAAAATTTCAAGATTACTGTCTTTCTACATAGGAAAACTGGGAGCTCTGGTGATGTCGTGGTAAGAGTTGTGCTGCCTATCCAAAGGCACGTGGTTTGAATACACCAACTGCTCTGCAGGATAATGATGGGCACTGTCTTCCCATGTGATTTACTGCCTCTGAAAACCCCCTTGAGTCCATTCTGATTTAACAGAACGTAACTACAACAAATAAGAAATAGTGCCTTACAGTGGCATTTCCTACTTGTTCATGATTGAGTTGAAAGCCTAGTGGAAAGTGGGAAAAGGCCAACAGTCAATCTCCTAGAATATGGATCACAAAGAAACTGCTTTGTCCTTAACTGGATGAATTATTCCTTTTGAGTTGTCTAGTGACAATGGCCTATGTGGGTGAGAGACACAGAGGATGCCCAGGGTGCATTGTCTGACACCTTTCCTAGTTCTTTTTAGAAAGAGAGCTCAAGATATGCAGCTACCATACTCCACAGGGCTGAATGAAGTTATATGATGACACAGGCTACAAACTTAGCATTCTTTCAGTCTTCTTGAAAACATCCTACCATCAAGTGCATCTCAAGGCAGAAATTTCAAGGTGGGGCAGAGAACTGCTCCAGAGCTTTCCCAAGGGTGCCAAATTTCAAGACAGCAGATTGCGTCATCATTTTCTTTAATCACTGTATCACTGGATCTCGCTACATTCATCCAAGAGTTTAAAATTAAGTTACAGTCAGTGCAGTAAAAACTGTAAAACATTCAGCTATTTTGTGAATTTAGTATAGAAAACATCTTTTTTGGGGGGTTTAAATATTGCAGCACAACTCAAAGGTGGGTTAATGGTAAAGATAGTATTTTTACTCGAGGACAGTAAAAATTGACAGTAAAATGAAATTGATTAAAAGGTAAACAGGGACAGAGTAAATCCAATATTCATTATAACAACAGAAACACTTATACTTTTCAATGAGTTTCTTAAGAAGCCTTGGCACACAGGAGTTATCTGACTAGGCTTGGAAGCAGGAGCAGCAACCACTTCTTAAACAACATGCCTCTGGAAACTCTATGAACTTTGATAAATGCCGATAGTTGTAATGGGACTTCAGGCCTTTTGTTCATAGAGTTGCTATGAGTTGTGCTTGACTCTACGACAATCAACAACAACAATAACATATGAGTGTGTGTATATATATATGTATATATTATATATATATATAATATATATTTAGAAATGTAGAAACAAAGATTTTTATCAGAACAATTAAATTTTGCTAAAACATCTGTAAATATATCTCACCATCATTTACTTAGTACTCAGAATCAACCAGCAGCTGTAGGTGCACATTTAGAAACTATCATCACTTTTCTTTTCCTCAAAACCAAATAAAAGGCAAAAATACACAAATTTTCATATAGTTAATTGATGGAAAATAACCTTTAGGGTGTGATAAAATGCTTCTAATTTCTTATTACCTCTTTGCATACTTTAACCCCCTACCAGAAGAAAAAGTGATCCTTAACACTGCAGAAATGTCAGCGCAGCAGGTCTTTCCAGAATTGATTATTCCAAAAATACACTGGCTTATTCGTAGGGGCCAAATTAATGCTGAATGAGTTATGAAAAAGTTGAGAGTGCTCTATGTAGCAGTGAGCACATAATTTAATTCCAGATATTAAAAGTGTCCAATAGCATGCATTATTTAAAACGTGAGACACACATATAACCCCCATTGCAATACAGAAAGCTAATATCATATAACAAATTAAGTCCCATTAATTGCCATTCAAACATCACTATTAAGTTGTCATACTAAGATTGTAGAGAAGAATATTATGAGCCAATAGATAATGAATTTATAGTATAAAATACAATATTGTGATTTATGGAAAAGGAATATAGTAAGTCATTCTGACAGAAGGCAAAGGAAACTGGGAAAGGTTCCTGGAGAAGACACTAAAAAATGCTACATATCCTTTACTATATATGCACACCTGCCCTCGCCAAAGAAGATTTTCTGTTACTTTAAGATTTAGACTCAGTTTATAAAGGTAGTTATTGTTAAAGGTATGGTCTTACTCCTCTCATTTATAAATCATAGGGTATCATTTTTTAGTCTATATATAAGTATCTGGAAGCAGGAGTGGCATTCATTTCCTAAATAATATGCCTCCAGGAACAATGAACTTTGAAAAATATTGATAGTTGTTGAGGGGCTTCAGGTCTTTTGTTCATTGGGTCACTATGAGCTGTGCTCGATATGAAGGCAATCAACATCAACAACAAATATAAACATGTGGTGGTTGTTGTTGTTACGTGCCGTCAAGTCACTTGCGACTCATAGCGACCCTATGTACAACAGCTCTAAACTCTGCTCTGCTCTGTGCCAATCTCATTGTCTCCGACATACTCATCCCAATTACCCCAGTCACTGAATCAATCCACCTCTCAGAGGGCCTTCCCCTCCTGTACCTGCCCTCCACCCTCCCAAGCATGATGTCCTTCTCCAAGGACTGGTTTCTCCTTACAACATGACCAAAGTATGTCAGACGAAGCCTCAGAATCCTTGCCTCCAAGGAGCAGCCTGGTTTAACCCTCTCCAGGATGAATCTGTTTGTTTTCTTGGCAGTCCATGGTATCCTCAATACTCTTCTCCAGCACCAAACCTCAAAAGCATCAATTCTCCTTCTATCCTCCCTAGTTATTGTCCAGTTCTCTGATGCATAACAAGTGATTGCAAAGACCATGGCCTGTATCAGACGCACCTTAGTCTCCAGAGACACACCGTTGCTCTTCAGTACTTTAGAGAGGTTCCTAACAGCAGACTTTACCATCGCAATACGTCTTTTAATTTCCTGGCTGCTGGTGCCAAGAGTGTTGATTGTGGAGCCAAGCAGACTAAAGCTGTGAATAAGTATATATATAGTATAAAGTGTATATATACTATATAGTGTACTATATACTGTATATACACTTATATGCTGTTGTTGTTGTTACGTGCCATCGCGTTGCTTGTCACTCATAGCGACCCTATGTATAGCAGCCCTAAATCCTGCTCTATCTTGTGCCAATCGCACTGTCTCTGATACTCCTATCCTGATTATCCCAGTCACTGAATCAATCCACCTCATAAGAGGGTCTTCCCCTCCTGTGCTGTCCCTCCACCCTCCCAAGCATGATGTCCCTCTCCAAGAACTGGTCCCTCCTTACAACATGTCCAAAGTATGGCAGACGAAGCTTCAGAATCCTTGCCTCCAAGGAACAGCCTGATTTAACCCTCTCTAGGATGAACCTGTTTGTTTTCTTAGCAGTCCATGTACTTATATAGTATACTACATATTTTTATACTTATATACTATATACACTTATATGGTATACTGATGCACCAAATGTGATAATGGTTACCCATGGTGGACAGTGTTCGGTGGAACTTCTCTGGTTAAAACAAGCTTGGAATCAGGAGTGGCATCCACTTCCAAAAGAGCTTGCCTCTGGAAACTCTATGAACTTGGAGAAATGATGAACTATACATAATTCATTCACAGGGAAGCTATGAGTTGTCTACAACTGGATGGCACTTAACAACAACAACAACATACTATATACTTAGATACTACATATATATCTATGTACTATATATATATACACACACACACATATACTTAACATAGTGTGTGTGTGTATGTGTATATATATATGACTAAAAGTATCTGATACCCCGTGATTTACAATTGAGAGGAATAAAATCATACCATTAATAATAACTGCCTCTAGAAACTGAAACAAAATCTTAAAGTAACAGAAAATCTTTTTTGGTGGGGGTGCAGGTGTTTCTATAGCTATTAAGAGCCTAATGATTTGGAAAGAACTTAATTTCATTCTCAATTTATAGAAGACTTTCTACTGGGGAAAAGCATTTTGAAATAAAATACCTAATTACTTTCTAAACTCATGTAAAAAAGGTGAGCCCTTCTCTGTCGCCCACACCTTCCACTCACTTGCACGGGGAGCACGTGCACTTACGTGTCATACACGTTGAGCAACCAGTTGAGGCACATGTCCACGCAGAGCGGGACGTTGACCAGGTCCTTGTGCGTTTGCTCAAGGCCGTCGTACGTTGTTGTCAGGCAGTTGATGACATCCGGAACAGTGAGGAGCTGATCATTTTGGTTCAGCTTGTGCTGTTTGAAAACTTCATTTGTTGTATTCAATTCTAATAGGTCCACTATCAGACAAGGACAAAATAAATACAGATATATTATTATAATCATCATTATTATGTGCTGTTGAGTTAAATATGACTCAAAGTGACCCCATAAAAAACAGATCGGAACCCTGTCCTACCCTGAGCCAAGCCCACAATCTCTAACCCTCTCCAGCCCATTGCTGCAGTGTCAGTCCACCGGTTGAGGGTCCTTCTCTCCTTCACCACCCCTCCATCTTTCCAGCATGATGTCCTTCCCTAAGGAATAATCTCTTCCAGCAACATGCCCAAGATATGCGCATCAAGGCTTCACACAGTATTAAAACAAAATGTTCTAGTCTCAATTATTTTATTTTTGAGCTGAGGGATTTATCTGGTTTTCCCTGTCATTTTCTTTTGAAGATAAATATAATATCCATTATTACATTTCCAATTTCTTTTCTTGTATATTTCCCCATCCTTCGACTCAGAACGCTTTCACTGTTCAATTGTATCCCTTTTCTTTGGCCTTTGGAACCCCATATACTCCTCTCCTTTTTTAACTTTCTCTACCCCAGGCTCCTTCTATTTTTAAACACAATCAGGTATAATTTCCAAATCACATTTCAAATGTTCCATTAACTATAATGTAATGTATGTATAACATAACAGAATAGAAATCAGTATGTTTAATATTATTATTTATCTTAATATGTTATATAATAATGCATAATATAAAACAATATAATCTCCAAATTTGTCCTTTATATAGTTGCCAAATAAAGGGCTCTTAAGCAGAGCTTCTCCACATGGGCATTATGAGATGCAAAGTTCTCTTGAGATAAGTGTTTAAGAAAATAGCTTCTGTAGAAGAACCAGGTTCTCCAGTGCTTACTGAACTGAGCCTGATATTTGAGATCCTCACAATTTGGCCATCACATGGTTCATTTCCCATAATGCTCCTGTAAGAGCATATCTAGCTAAACTGGACTAACAGAGGTTCACAGTACAAGGACCTACAGCCATTAGCCTTGGCATATCTGCCCCTTTCCTTTCTCCTCGAATCTTGACCCACCACGGTGGGTACGTGCAGAGCATATAGCAGAGGTAGAGCTCCATGTGCAAGTTTTAACACTGAAAAAGTTGACATACTTTTTTTACTATCACCAATAGTAAGTCTTCTATGCCTTCCAGAAAATGGCTTTCTTATTAAACATGACACATTTTGAAAGTTAAATAAAAGTTTCCTTTGTATTTATCAGTGAATACACACTAATTTTGATTTTTTAAAATACTATTTTTTAAAAAAGATTTTGAAACTTGTCCACACTAGCAGTATGGATACAGAATAATTATTTACTTATTCAATCGTCTCTGACGAAAAAGAATTGTTTTAAAATTATAAAAAGTCAGGTGCTAAAAAAACAAACCCACAACTCAAGAGGGAACATTGAGTTTTTAAAATATTCTTAAAGAAAAAGTCAAACAAACACACAAGTCTGCATAAAAGTTAATTTCCTGGAGAGGTCAAATGTGTCACTGGTAAAATGTAGGCTCTTAGCCTACAAAAAATAACTTAGATATGCTTTGGATGATTCAGAGATGTAGACAAGAAAAAAAGCAGCAGCACTGGAATTCTCATTGTTATTTTTATCACAGAGCCCTTGGATGGTGTACAAATGGTTAATGCTTTCAGCTGCTAACCAAAAAAGAAGTCCGTGGCCACTCAAAGGTTCTGCAAAAGAGGACTGACAAGCTACTGAAAACTCGACCATGGAAAACCCTATAGAACTGATCATGTTAACCTCATTTTTGGAACTTTTTGTTTTCATTTGAAGCTTCAGAAGAACAGAGTCACTATCAAATTCATTCTTCAAAGGATCACACAAAAGGAAATGCTTAAAAATGACAGTATCTGTACAAGTGATACAATGAAACCACCTTCCAAACACTGTCAAAAGGCTTCAGACTTTCTTTCTAAATTCCAGTATTCATCCTTCCAGGAACAAAAAGCACAGCTATGTATTGCATCCACACATGGCACAAGGTGACAAGAGAAGAAATTCCACCAACGGCCATTTCTTGGGTCAGACTGTTCTAGTATTTCTTCCCCAAAAGTCTCCGTGTTGAACAATTAGCAGCTGTAACAGGGAGGTGCCTCATCTCACAGGTGATTGTGTCTTCGGTCTGTGGTAGTTCACTGACACTTTGCCTACGTGCCCCACTGAAGCACACATCTTCCTGCAGTGTCACATCCAGTGACACCTTTAAAGAACTGACTGCACTTAGATCACAGAACGTTCTAATTGACTCTTTGCAAAGGGAGACGAGTGACAGCTCAGGCGTGTGGGAAATGCAGCAAACAGCAGGATCATTTTCCACCCAACTTTCCCTGACTGCTTTCAGCCCACAAATAGGGCCAAATCCCACTGTTTAGAGTCGATTTTGACTCACAGTGACTCTCTTTTGGTTTCTTTCAGGATATGAATTTTAACAAGAGAGAGATTGTGGATCAGCTGGTGATTTGTAACTGCGAGTCTTTCAGTCAGCAGCCCGACTATGCCATCAGGGTACCTTTCACATACAAAGCAGAGGGGAACAAATGAGAAAACTTCAGAATTCTCCTCTTCTGCAAAAACTAACACTTGTTTTATACTTGGACTGGGACTTCTATAACTGTTGCCCATCTGTCTGATCTACCTTCCTCAGTATCTCGTCAATATCCTCTACTCCAAAAACTACAGAAACATAGGGAGTACCTAAGGTTTGTGTTCTGGTCTCCTAGTTCACAACCCTCAGTCATCCCCATGACTTCAACTGTGACTTCTCTCTGGACAACGCCAGAGCCCATTTCATCATCCCCATGTCTTGCCCTATTATCAAACTAACAAGCCCATGGCTTGGTTCCCAACTGGAGCTCCACCATTCTTTCAGGAATTTCTACCTGACATGTTCCAAAGGAAATCTCAACTCCCTGTTTTGCCGAGACTGGTGATTAGCTGACAATCTTCTGCAGAAGACAAGTTTGCAAATCCTGATCGATACAAATTTCTTCCTGTTCCCCCTCCCCTTCATAGTTTCCCATAGCCAATGACTCTATGAACAAAAGATCTAATGCCTTTCCATAACTATCATCATTTCTCCAAGTTCATAGAGTTGCCAGAGGCATGTGGTTTAGGAAGTGGATGCCACTCCTGCTTCCAAGCCTGTTTTACAACTGGGAGCTCCACCAAAGACTGTCTACTTTAGGAAACCATTCTGGTATATGATACCCCAATAGCACCACAAGGCTCAGCATCATAGCAAACCCAGGTTACTTTACATAGTACATTGACAAAGAGTGATATGCAAAGTGGAAACGTATTCCTCCAGATATAACAGCACTAGTCTCACTTAGCAGTAGTTAAGAGTTGAATACTACTCGGAGTAAGCTTTGCACAAAACACCTGAACTTGGGTCTATAACATCATTTCTATACATAGCCATAACCAAATCCCATAAAATCATTTCCCCCTATACAGCCTTATAATCTATAACTCAACCCCTTTCCTGCCACCACAGCCCAGCTTTGGTTAGCTTTGCTTCAATCTGTCTTAACTAGCATTGAAAAGGATTTCTCTAAAATCGTGCAAAACAGAAGTGATTTTAAGTTGTGTTATTTGCTATTGAGTTGGAATCAACCCATAGTGGACCTACCAGTGGGTTTTCAGATGCTGTTAATCTTAGGGAAGGAATTTGCCCTTCCTTCTCCTGCAGAGCCGCTGGTAGATTAGAACTGCATGCCTTTGGGATTGCAGTGCAGCTTCTTGCCACTATGCCACCTTTCATTGTATAAAGAAAAATACTAAACATGAAATCTAACACTGTGAGAGCTTGAGAAACAAGACTTAGGAAACTGGAAATAATTTATGTAAAGTATAATCTTTAAATTATACCTAAACTGATTTTAAGCCAGTTCCCAGGTACTGAACAAACAGAAGTTCATTCTAATACTTTCTGTTCCCTGGCGTGTGCCCATGCATTAGCTCTCATTCATATTAAGTCCTTGCCTTTGTCTTTGGCTAATAGCCATGTGCCCAAATCCTGTATAACCGCGAAGACATGGATATTATCCTGCTTCCTCAGAATGCTTGCTTGTTGTTTGGGATAAAGAGAATTGCTGCTGCTTCTGTAAGTATTTTATTCTTGCTTCTATTTCCAAACACACAGTGCCTTGAAAGTTGTTGTGTGTACCACAGAGTTGGAACCAACCCATAGCTGACCCTCCAGTGGGTTTTCAGAGGCAGTTAATCGCATAGGAGGAGATTGCCCATCCTTCTCCCACAGAGCAGCTGGTAGCTGTGAACCGCGTGCCTTTGGGATTGCAACACAGCTTCTTGCCACGAGGCCACCAGAGCTCAACACACTATGCACAATATATGAGCATGTCAATTAAAAATAATTGAACAAATACCCATCAATCAATCACACAGCTAAAGAAACAGAATGTTGCCAATATCTTTAAAATGAAGTATAAAAACATCCTTCATCACAACCCTTCCACTCACTAACTTTTATATTTAATTTAAAAAATGTGTATACATATATCTTCACAATTGAAAAAACAAACAAATAATGGAGACAGACGTAGATTCCCAGAGAGCTTTAGTGGCACAGTCCTTAAGGAGTTTCACCACCAACCCAAACACGGCAGCTCTCTGGCAGTTCAAAGCCACCAGCAGCTCTAGGGGTAAAGATTGAAAGATGGGCAGGTGCCTATTGGGTGATTTACAGCTCAGACACCCAATGATGGAGCAGCCAGGAGTTGGATCCAACTTATGGCAATAAATGAGGGGACAGTAAAGTCCTTAATAAAGTAACATTTAATTGCTCAGGATTTGAAGTACACTGTTCCCTCCCGCAGGTTTTCAGGGACAGTAAAGTGCAAGATATGAGAAAGCCTATTTTTCTCCCAAAAAGCAGCTGGTGGATTAGAACTGTGTGACTTTGGGTTGTTAGCACAACTCCTTACCTGTAGGCTATCAGAGCTCCCTATTTGAAGA